ACGCCATCGTCTGCTTCCCCCCTCAGTCTCCCTCTCTCCTGAAAAAAAAAGTGTGGCAGGGGAAATCAGTGATAAGAAATGGCCTTCAGTCACCTGTAACTCTGGTAACCTGTTAACTTCTGCTCACTGGTGAACTTGCTGGGGGGAGCTGTCAAAAATGGTCAATACTCACTATATATTCACCCCTAGAGTAGAATGTCTCCTGCTTTTGCAAGTAATAGAATGGAATTCTTTATCAGCAAACATTTCGCCTAGTGTTTTGTAGGTGCTACATTCTAGAGTCCATTAGTACAGATTGATGGTAGACATGTAGGTTGAGGTAGCAGAGGAGATGTTGGACTGGGTCCCACCCTTTAGCAGTTGAAACTTCTGAGGCAGTAGGCTCAAGTCTACAAAATCCCATGCTACCAACTTCTTTCTTTCAGTTAGTCTCAAAAGGTGCTACAAATCCCCTTGCCATTGAAGCCTGACATCCCTTAATTGTTCATACCTAAACCCAGGGAGGCCTGATTCATGAAGCCTGTCAATCTCTAATATTCTGTTTTTGTGCAAGATCCTGGAGCATGTGGTCGCCTCCTAGCTCTAGGGATTTCTGGGTGAAATGGATTATCAAGACCCGTTTCAATGGCTTCAGTTTGGGTTATCAGATGAATACAGTTTTGGTCGCCTTGGTGGATGATGTACACAGGGAGCTGGACAGTTCTGGTTGTCAAATGAAGACAGTTTAGGTCGCCTTGGTTGATGACCTATGTAGGGAACTGGACAGGGGGAGTGTGTCCCTGTTAGTTCTGCTGGACCTCTCAGTGGCTTTCAATAAATACTATTGATCATGATATCTTTCTGGGATGGGATTTGGGGCACTGCTGTGCAGTAGTTCTGGTCTTTCTTGAAGGGGTGAACTTGGTGGTGCTGGGGGGATGACTCCTGTTGAATGCACTGGCTGTTGGCCTGTGGGGTCCCTCAAAGTTCTGTCTCCCATGTTAGTTAACATCTACATGAAACTGCAGGGAGAGGTCATCTGGAGCTCTGGGGTGCAGTGTCACCAATATGCTGGTGACATCCAACTCTATCTCTCCATTCAATTCCAAGGAAGCTGTCTCTGTACTTAACCAATGTCTACTGCCAGTAGTAAACTGATCCCTGCTCTCCTTTTGCTGGCAGGCAAGAA